CAAAAAGAGGAGGAACGTCTTATGCTAGCTTCATAAGAGCTGCTTTCTTGAAATGTAACAGTGATATTGGCCTCCCAAAATAATCGTTTTAACACTGCAGTTACTACATAAAGTAAACTCTGTTAGATTATTTTACACAAATTGATAAGCTATTTATTAGTTATTTTAGTTTTTTGTATTCTTTTTCTTGTATTGTGTAAGTCATACCTTTCTCTTACTTTGAATATTACAAAGGAAGAATAAAAGTAGCACCTTTAATTGCTATTCTAAAACTTCTCAATGTAACATGCATTTTAGCCATGGCTTAGCAGCTCATAGAGTGGCTCCGAGTTTTTCAAATACAAACTTTTAGCTCAAAGCTCCATACCTTGACCGCTTTGAAATCTAATTATAGCCGCGGTTATTGATGATCCCCTCTTGTTTTTATCTGGAGTTCAATGCTTGTAGTTCAGTTCTGTATAAATATATACAAAACATACTATGTACATGGTGCATGTTTTATATATAGAATGCGAGTATCTATTTGTAAATTAACAAATCGTTACTTGTTACATTTTCAAACAAGTAACATTTTTGTGTAACGACACTACTATTTTTAGCAGATGACGGGCAAAGTAACATCATTGCTTTTTTCTAGTAACATGCCCAACACTATGTATAACTCGATCTGTTTTTTATACTACGTTCACGAACGAACAATTAGGCCAAGGCTTAACGTTAACTGATCAGGCCTTTGCCCTTTAGTGCTAACTGTTAGGGCTATTATCGATTTAACAGTTTTTACTATATTTTAATGTAGATCTAGCTCTAATTAACACATCAGGCCTAGGTACTAACATTAGGCTCGTTAGATTCCAACATTAGTCATGTTAGTATCTGATTCGTAGGAATGATTTAAGATCTAGCGTAAACATACTGCCTAGAAGCCCTATAGAGTATAATATTTTATGCAAAATTGCAACCTCTTAATATTAATATTCGCATTTTTCTTATATTATAGCCAAATTTGCAAAGTTCAACATAGTATTAAACAAAACAAAAACAGCTTCTTACCTGGTGTGAGATGTAAAAGACTGTTTAGAGTAGTTAGTATTATCAATTAATTTCTTTTGTTTGTAATTCTAGAGCAGGTGGTATTATTAATTAGTTTCTTTTGTTTGTAATTCATCGATGTCAAAGCTATCGAATGAATGTTGTGTTTGCAATCCATTGATTTCGAGACTATGGAGATTTCTAGAAGGAACCATTCCAGAAGTGCTGGTAAAAACAAGAAAAAGAGTGCAGCTGTTGATGCACAGATGGACATGGCAAGTGTGGCTGTCATAGAAGCAGAATCTGAAGACAATGACTTCGTTATAAAAGATAAGGACTTACTAGACCTAAGAGCACTGGGTGGAGATGAGATGTACAAGGACATCAACATAAGTGAAGAACCAACTGGTAAGATGAAAAAAGAGGAACAAAATCTAATGTGTCAGATAGATTAGGAAATAGAGACCCCAGACAACCCGATATCAAGATGAAGACAAGGGATCCTGTCAATGTGAAGTCCTTTTGGAGGCCCTATGTGAGAATAGATTGACAAAAAACTGGAAATGTTGGAGTAGACTATATGAGAAGACTTAGTATATGAACTGCAAACAGGTTTTGTATATAGTGTAAACAAATATCTTAAATATTTCTTTCGAAAAGGGGGCTTATTGTTAGGTATAAAAGACTGTTTAGTGTAGGTAGTATTATTAATTTATTTATTTTGTGTTTGATATCCATTGATGTCGAGGCTATGGAGATATCTAGAAGGCCTAAGGGATAGATGTATAAACAGCTGTGACCAGACGAGTGGAAGGAGAGTAAAAGTAAAGTCATGTGAAAGAGAAGATCTGTCAGAAAAAATTAAAAAGAGTAAAGTTAACAGTCATGGGAGTGAATGGCCTGATGATTCATATGTTAAGAGGAGAATAATTTGTTTTGTCAAGAGAGTTCTAAACTAACTGAACTTGCCTGAGTGAACTTTGACAAAAGGCAAACGATTATTGGAAATATGAAGAACAGACAATTATTGGAAGTACAAAAAAAGCAGATGATTTCCGGAAGTTGAGGATACAACTGCGGTAACTCACAAAACAGCATAAATGAATTATACATGGATACTATTGGAATAAAAATAGAGAAAAATTGTATAGTGTTTAAGATACAACTATTATCTCCATAGTGTAAAGAATTTTCGTACATGTGTTTAACTTGTTTTGAATATATGTATTAACTTAAAAACAAGAGGAGTGCATGCTGTTCATTTATTGTGAAATCTATCGCCAACAAGTCATGGACAATTACTGTAGAAGAATCCTTAGCTCAACACACCCATATATTTACCTTACCATATGTATACTACTAAAAAGTAAGTTTCTGACACCTGGTTAAATAATGGTCTCAACAGATCAGCTAAAATATGGTGATTATGTTCTTGTACCCACACAGCATGTCAGACAATAATGTGCACGTGCATACACAGCAAAACAGTCTGATCAATAACTCATGTTTTTAAACTGTTATTTTTAAACCTCATTAAAATTTTTGGGTAGCTCATAGTCTAAGTTTCAAAACCTTGAGGAATGTTACATATTTCCAAGGATGCAGGAATTCTGCCCATAGGATGATGCCCAAGCCCTGTATAATTGTAAGTCCATCGCAGCACTCAAGGGCCTGCTGATGGGATTACTGCAGTGAAAGGTTGCAGAGTTCTGGCTTACCATAATAATGTAAATATACTTTTTGCTTGTATCTATGTTTATGTATATATAATGTGTAAATTTCATTCATCCTCTTTGCCTCTGTTTTTATATCTTTAATTCATAAGCAAAACTGTCATTGCAGGTATGCTCAGTTTACTTTTTTTTTGGTTTGGTATGAATATATTTACTAAATAAGTTAGTGCATATTTGACAAGTAAAATAGTGTATACGTATATATATATATATATATATGAATATATAAAGTTTCATAACTAATCTCACAGAAGTAGAACTTTGTGTCTTGAGTTCTAGTTCTCTTTATTGAAGGGCTTCTTTTTGTTTTTATAGTATATTCTACATTCTGGTTAAGTATGTTAATTGCTGTTAAAAGGTTTATTCTGTTTTGTATATATAATATTGAAGACTTTTTCCTTTTTATATAATATTGATAGATTTGTTACTTTCATTTAAAGAGCATATTAAATTCTGTACTGTATTCTGCCTTATTAAGATTTTATTTTGTATTTGTTTTATAGTTTTGAGTATTGTAATGGTATCATTATGATTTTTTTATAGGATATTTTAATCTTTTTTCTTTTATGCATGTTCCCTTTTTGTGTCATTTTGATATTAATGTAGCTTGAATTTTATTTTATAATTATGTTCTGCACTGTATTTAGATTTTATGTATCAATAATTTGTAAATATTTGTTCCTTGATTTTGTTCCCCAACAGAATAATGGTAAGTCTATGGGGCTTACAATGCTAATATCCAAGGTTTGATTCTCTGCAGTGGACATAGAAGATAGCCCAGCATGGTTTTGCTCTAAAATAAAGAAACTGCCACTGAAAAATTTTTAAGGCCTGGCATGTCTAGTGGTTAGGGTGTTCAACTTGTAAGTTGCAGACTCAAATCCCTGTCACCAAACATGCTCACCCTTTCAGCTCTGGGGACATTATAATTTGATGGTCAGTCCTACTGTTCATTAATAAAAGAGTAGCCCAAAAGTTGGTAGTGGGTGGTGTTGACTAGCTGCCTTCCCTCTAGTCTATCACTGCTAAAGTAGGGACAGTTAGTGCAGATAGCCCTCGAGTAGCTTTGAACAAAATTCAAACCAAACCATGTTTTTATTTGAATGTGTTATGTATAACTATTTCAAAGAGACAAGAGTAAGTTACTCCAATATCTTGAGCAATACATGATGTATGTTGATTATATTTTAAAGTCAGGGATGGCCTGAAGGTAAAGGGGAATGGTATAGTTTGCAGGCATACTAAGTGTTTTCCACCCCTTATTTAATATAATTTTTTTAAAAACGTTTGTACATACAGTGTATGTAGGTCTAAGATAGAATATCAGCCAATGAAATAGCTAAGTTAAAATACATTTTCTGTTGAAACCTCTTAGTATTCTGCAGATCCTGCCCGATTACTTTTAGGGGAAATCAGTGCGCCTGAGAATACCACATCTACACAAGATACCTAATTAATGGTATATTCTAAAGTAGTTAAGGAAGGGTATAATTCACGACCCTTTCAGTCACTACACAGGAATGTTTTCTGGTAATCAACATCAGCAGCAAATTTTTAGTTTGCTGTACTTTTATTGGAAATGGTAGGATGGCCTAGAGTGTTAAGTTTGTATATTTCAGGAAAAAAATTGTCTGGGCAAGCCTATTTGGGTGTCAAGTAATTGAAGGTGTTTTTTCAGTTTTTTGTTGATAGTATTCCAAAACTGTGTTGTAGGACCTTGCATTGTCTTTTTTATAAAATTATCATTGAGTTGGTAATTAGCTTCAGTAATACAGTCCTTTTTGTTGAGAATGACAATAGCACCACCCAGGATTTATACTAATATTATTCAGTGTCATATTTCAGGATCTTGTTTCTTTGTTTGTTGGATTTTGCGTAAAGCAAGGTACCCAGAGCTATCTGTGCTAGCAATCCCTAATTTTGAAGTAACAGACTAGAGTGAATGCAGCTAGTTAACATCACCCACTGTCAATTCTTGGAATATTCTTGTAAGACTGAACAGTAGGATCTGATCATCACCTTTATAAAGTACCCAGAAATTGTGTAACAAAATTGTACTGAGAATCTGGCAAACAGAGCAAAGAAACCCACTACACTGATAATGAAGCAACTTTTTACTGTAAGTTCTGAAATTTCAAGTTCAACTGCACAGTTATAGTAACACAATTATTTTTTGAAGCAAATTGAAATGTATGTCCCAAAAAATAGGAAGCTAAAGCATTTAAAACTACATAATGAATATTCAATATGTTTAATCAACAAATATTTCACTAACTTAATACAGCACTTTCAAATAACATTCTGCTTCCACAGTCAGAAAACTAACCATGAGCATTTTGAATGTAGCAACTCTTGAAAAACATACAAAAAACTATGAATCATTTTAAAACTTTTGTATCCTGAGATTTAAAACTATTTAGTTATTGCAATTTTAAGAAAGCAAAAATGCTAATGAGTGTCTGTTTTGGGGGTTTTCATGGATAATAAAAAACAACAACAAAGTGTGTAAATAATGTAAACAATCATTATTTGAGAGATCTAAAATAAAATCAACAGCTGTAAAGACTAGACAGATTACAAAGAAACTGCTATTTTTCTTGGTGTTTCTAGCAAATTTAAGACTATTTGAACAAGTTTTTGAAACTGTAATTTGCTCATTTAGTATTGTAAATTGGGAAGCATTTTGTAAAATTATAGTACCGTATACACTGGGGAAAGAGCAGTACAACATTTAACTCTCAAACTTCAGAACAGAAAAATATCATCTGATGTAAACATTGCCACATACATGTAAATAGATTTTGCTTACAAAAATAAGCTAAGATAAACTTCCAAAATCCTACAGACTCAACCTCTTCAAGGTGGAGGATTTCTGACAATTCTACATTATGGAATTCAAAATGTACATGAAACACCACATACTTGTTTGACCTCAGTTCATTCCCACTTTACTTTCACATGCACTACTTCATCCTATCCACAGATTAAATGGCATTAACTGTCTTTCAGTTTTTCTTCAGTTGTTAGTAGTTCATTTATATTCCTGTTTTTTTATTGAGTTGAGTGGCAACTTGACATTTACCTACAGGTTTGGTTGGTCCCACCCAGAAAGCACCCTCTTTCTCTTCATTGTGGTTTTATGTTGAGATGTAAATTTTACAGGGCATTTAGATGAAGAAGAATGAGAAGAAGGAGCATTTGCAGCAGTATGATTTACATAACTTTCATGATTTATATCACCTTCATCTTCTTCCTGTAAAAAATCATCAAATAGAAGCAATGAGTAAGATTTGTAAGATACAAAATTAATGACTCAAACATATCTAGAACTTGCAAAGACAGCATGGTATTCAACTTACATTAAATGTAAATTATTGTGACAATTTTATTATACTTTGTTTTTCATCACAAATTCAGGGTTTATACACACATTATTATATTAAGTAAAATAATTTATGGATTTTTCCAAAATATTAAAAATTTCAATGACCTAAGACTAGAGGTTTACTGATACAACTTGGAAGGGGGAGGGGGAGATTTACTATGCATTCATGGTTTCAGCATTATAAGTCCTCAAGCATACCACTGAGCAACAAATGTTAGTTTTCATTCATCATTGGGTAATTAGACAGTTACATTTTATATTTATTCTGTTTTTATAAGCTCTGATTTCATATTAGCAATCACTGCAGTCATTATTCACTAATGAAAAGTGAAGACTTCTTCAATTTCCACATATGTGAATTTAACGCATGGTAGATATACCAACATCCATTACATTTCAACTAACTAAAATTTGTATTTAATAGTAACATAATAATACAGTAAATATATATAACAGGTAATAAATAAAACTGAAACATAACAATAACTAAAATCAAAAATAAAAGATGAATTAAATAATAAAGCAAGCACTTTTATCAGTTATTTCCCATTCCTTCAGTTTTCCTTTAAGCTCTCCTATCCCTTTCCCCTCCACATCTGATATTGTTTTTATTTCTCGTGTACTTCCTAACTATTCTTTCTTATTCCTTTGTTTTTCCACCCCCTCCTAGCTGTCATACCATATTACATGCTCCATCGTTTCCAATACAGCATAAATTGTTTTTCTTCATTCAACCAATATTTGTTACCCTTTGTATAATTACCACATCTAAATCTTGCAATGGTCATCTGCTCCTCTCACTTTAATTTTCTCTATAAGTATTTCAGTATTCTCCCATTTCTTTTTATCTGTTATATCATTACTCCATTATTTGATACCAGTAAACAGACATGAGAGGGGAGTGGTAAGATAGAAAATGTGAGGAGTACATTTTGATACCAGTAAACAGACATGAGAGGGCCATCTTACCACTCAATGTACTCCTCACATTTTCCCTCATATAGTTTTCCACTCTAATAATTCTTCATCCAAAAATCATAACCTTTGAGTTATCTATAGTTTTATACACTATGTTATCTCTTGTTTATTTTTTCTATCTATCTCCTTTAACCTATAACAATGTTTAATCCATTTCACTTCTTCTGTATTCTTTATCTTTCTTTCACCATTATATGCTCTTTTTAATCATAATTTGCCATATTTTAATCATTCCTGACTCTTTCATCACAAAATAACTTAGTGTTATTTTTTTCTACTCTCAATAATAACCATGTTGTATAACTTATCTGAAAATTCTCTAATTTCTTCTGCTCAAACAATCCCCATGTTGTATAGCTTATCTGAAAATTCTCTAATTTCTCCTGCTCAAACAATCCCCATGTTGTATAGCTTATCTGAAAATTCTCAAATTTCTCCTGCTCAAACAATCCCCATGTTGTATAGCTTATCTGAAAATTCTCTAATTTCTCCTGCTCAAACAATCCCCATATTCAGGTATATAAGGTAAGATCACTAACTATTGTTCGTAATAGCTTAACTTTATTTCGAAATCTGTCAAAAATCCCCTTTCTTCTAGTTCCCTCCAAACCAATGTTGTCATAACACCCCAAGTATTTAAACTGCTTCACTCTGTTTCTTCATTCCTCCTCTACCATCTCTTATTTTTAGCTTTTTTTATCCTTTTTTAAGAACTTATTTACTTATATTTATTTATTTATCATATGTGTTTATTTATATTGAAGTCTAACCTATACTCTTCCAAAATTCTTATAATTTTGTGCAAATACACTGCTTCCATTGCCAACAAAACTACATATTCTGTATATACCAACAGAAATACGGTTCCTGTATTACTATCCTCCTACATTATTTTTTTCATCTGGTTTTCTAAATCTGCCACATACAGAATATATAACAAAGGACTAAGCTGATATCCTTGTCTCAGGTGTATAAAAACTTTGTGTATATTTTCTTTGTATCCTTACTCTTGAATTTGTTTCTTCATATAAGAGTGTCTGACAAATTTTTCCTCCCTTCTTCATTTTCTCCAACTTTTTAAATAACAATTGCTGATTTAATGTATTAAGTTAAATGCAGCTTTCAAATTTACATAAAATGCAAACGACGTTACTCTTTGTTTTCACTATTTCTCATTTAATGTATGCATTATACATATGTACATATATATATATATATATATATATATAGACCTTGGTATTAAATAATGCAATTTCATTTGTTTTTGATGTTTCAAGCATCTATGTAAACCCTGAATTATAATATATGATACTGTATTAACAGTGGGTTTTAACAAAAAACAAAGCACATGAAAAGATGTAAAGGTAATTAAATTTCCAATAAGGAATAGTAAAGCTGCTTCTTTAAGACATGTTACTTTGATGTGTTGTTTCTCAGGTACACACAAGTGATTTTGTAACCAATAGATAGAATGCTTTTCTTCTTCTTTTTGGATTTTTATATGCATATTTATTTAGAGTAAATACCAATCAGTGTGAGACCAAGAATCAAGTTACATAATAAAACCAGCCTTATGTAAATATTTCATGAATGATTAGTAGTTTTTCAGGCAACTTTTAAAAAATTTTGTTTTATATGGCTTAATGAAATTCATAACTTAATTAACTAATGAAATTTTATAAAGCTTTTAATGAATTAAAGTACTATGTTTACATTTTCGTTCTCTGATGTTGAAGCTTGCTCAAAAACTTCCTCAACCTTTTCTACATTGATGCGAAAATCTCTTGATGTGCTGAGTTTTACGTGCTCCATCAAGTTCACCTGAAAGTCACAATAACTTCATTTATAATTTTTTTACTTCATGATATTTGGTTTACTAAACACATACATAGTAGTTTTGGAATACAAAATGAGATGTTTATGCCACAACCACAATTCTGACAAGGAATTACAGCAACTCTTTTTAAATCAAATAACTGCAACTCCAGAGAGATTTTTATAATTATTTCACTGTCTCAACATTTTGTCTTTAAGCCTTCATCAGGAGCTCTACTCCCAATGAGAAATATGTCAAAATGAATTTTATTGTATGTAAACCTCCTTATGAAAGCTTAAAGCTAAAATGTTGAGATGACAAAATTATCTTAGTTTCTCTCTGGAATTACAGTTCATCAATGTATAAAATGTGCACTTCACCCCAGTCACCACTATATAACTCAAAAAACTTTGAATTACAGCAACTTCTGAATGAGTGCATTTTTTATTTACTGATATAGAGTGGTGTAGTGGGGCTGGAGCAGATTGGATCACTGTTCCTATGCCTTGTTTTTCTGATTAAAAAGTATATAATTATAAAATAAATTTAAATGGTAAATATAATATTTTATAGTATGAAACTTCTAAGTAAAAAGGATGTATTTGAAAATATCAAAACTACTGTATGTATGAAATGATGAATTAAAAATTTAATACTTCTTTTATGCATGAAGATGATATATACACTACTGATAAAATATCAATTACATTTTTAAGACTCACGAATACAAGATGGTAACATAAAATTAACTGATAACTGTCTGGTAAGTACAAATAAATTTAATACCCAAAATTCAGCCTATGGGTGCATGTATAATTCAAGGCAGTGCAAAAGGAAGAATCATTGCCCCAATCAACATTATCTTCTGGATAGAACCACAGAAAAGCTGGAGCACCACACCACCCTCCAGGTCCCTCCACACGGAAGTGGATCACCTCTAAAATATATAGCAACCCCACCCACCAGATAGAATAGCAAAGAAGCTGGGCATAACATCAACCTAAAGTACATTAGCCTCGGGCAGTGAAAACTCCTTGAGGTGGAGCGCAAGAGGGAGACTCACTGCCCCAGTCAACATTATCTTCCGGATTGGACCACACAAAAGCCAGAGCACCACACCACCCTCCAGGTCCCACCACACAGAAGTGGATCACCTCTAACTATATAAGCAACTGCACCCTCAGGATGAAATTGCACAGAAGCTATGCATAACACCATCTTCCGGAACCCACTGCATGGAGGTGAGCAAATTTATTTGTAGATATGTGCAACATCATCCCCTGAATAGAACTGCACAGAAGCGGGTGCAACATCAACCTCCAGGGCCCACTGCACGAAGATGGAGTGCATGATTGGAGGATCGAATGCCATCTACACCAGCAGAACACCATGCCCTACTCTCAACTGAATGGAAGCAATCATGTTCAGGAGGACTCTTCCATGGTTCACCACTCCAGTGGCTCAAAACTGGAAAGTGGCAAGGACTCCCATGCTCCACTAGAAGAACAAGGAGGGACAAAATGTGGTGAAGAGTCCAGAGGAAAGCTAACACTGGAGACAGTGCAACAGATGACCACAAAAAACCATATTTTGAAAAGCAGACCACCCCTGATTTATTCAATCAAAGGGACAGCAGGGATGGGCAGCTATCCCTTTCTTCTTTACCCAGGTATGTCCATGGGTTAGTATGGTCCAGAATGGGCATATTTATGAAGTAAATATATCACGAGGAAAATCTACTAGCAATCTTGTAGAACTCCCCATCTCAACAGCATGCATCATTGGCCATGGTTGTAAATCTTGGCCGTACAGTGCAGATTTGAGAGATAGGAAGCATACCTAGACAGGCAACACTCGCCACTGAACAGGATCTTAATTGTAAATAGGACATGCTACTGGAGGAAAAAAATATATATAGAAAAAATAACCTCCCCAGTCACAGCTGCACCAAAGTTTGAAACCAAAAGTAACATAAAAGGTACCAGTTAGTCCAGTACTGATGGAGAACATCCACTGTCAGAGCCTGAAGAACATGAGACCAAAAAGAAGTAATTTGGTGTTGGAGAAAAGTGGCAAAAAAGCATCCAGATGAGGAGTACTCCACTGATTGCATAGCCACCTGAAAACTTGAGGGTTGATAAAGCACTCTGTGGGATAAACCTGGTTGGGTCTTGAAAAACAATCCACCATAAGGTGAAAAGCACCTGGAACAAAACACACTAGGAGACTTCTCTGCAGTGTGTGGGCCCAATAAAGGATTTCTAAAGTTTGACCACAATGGAAACATGTACGACTGCCCCCTTAGTGATTGATATAAGCCACAATGGTGGAATTGTTGGAATGGAGCATGACATGTCAGTTCATTGCCAGAGGAAGAAAATGAACCAGAGCATGTCATACTGTCAGAAGCTCTTAGATGTTGAAATGGTAAGACATTTGGATCTGAGGACATTGTCTGAAAGCCTCCTGCTGATATCCCCATGCTCCCCAACCAAAGAGAGAAGCATCTGTGAGCAGATGTAAATCCAGACAAGGTGGAAGAAGCAGCACTCCCATCATTGTGTTGTCCTTGTTCAACAACCAATGCAGATGGTCTGTAAGGGAAGGAGGAAGGGTATATTGGGAGTCCAAGGGATCACAAACAAGAGTCCAATGGCTGTGCAGAGTCCACTGATGAGAATGCATATGTACCTAACCCAAAGGAGTAAAAGCTTCCGGAGAAGCCCAAGTCCCCAAAAGCAAAAGAAACTCACATGCAGAAACAGAGGGTGCAGGAAGTGCTTAAAGAACTGAAAGATCCATTTAACAGACAAATTAAAGAAAGTTGAGCCTAAATGAGGTGGGTGTTGAAAAATACACCCAACTGGATAAAATATTTGGTAGGCAAAAGGAAAAACTTCCCCAACTTTAGAATCCAACCAACATGAGCTGCATCTATCAGCAGCAGATGTGTATGTTGAGAAGACTCCAGTTCAGAAGGAGCCAACAGGAGCCAGTCAACCATGTAGTGGTGTAAACACAACCCTCAAGCATAAATTGGGAAAAGACCTTGATCACCCAATAAAGTACATACAGTTTCAATGACGAGGAACCCACTTTGAGACTAATAATGGTTGGAGATGGCTTGAATAGGTAATGAAGAAAAACTTTAATATAACTTTAACATAACAGCAAACGTACAACGTTTCAACAAGGTTTTGTCATCATCAGGTACTATATTCAGGTTACGTAGTTTAAAGATAGTTTCACGGTATGATTGGTTTATGATAGGATTGGTTGGTTAATAGGGTCTCAGTGGGTGTGTGGTGTAGTTTGGTCTTTATAGTGTTCTAGTGGATTGTGGAGAGCGAGTTATGATTGGTTGGTTAATTAGGATCTCAGTGTGCGTGTGTGGTGTGGTTTGGTCTTTATAGTGTTCTAGTGGATTGTGGAGAGCGAGTTATGATTGGTTGGTTAATAGGATCTCAGTGTGCGTGTGTGGTGTGGTTTGGTCTTTATAGTGTTCTAGTGGATTGTGGAGAGCGAGTTATGATTGGTTGGTTAATAGGATCTCAGTGTGCGTGTGTG